CTTTTCTGAAAATAGCCAACCACGAGGGGATGCAATTGGCTTCTTAACACAAACGGTGGGTGAGAAGAGTGGGGGATCAACCTTTTCCAACATCGTTGTTTTTCTTTTGGTTTCGCTTTTTAGGAAAAAACATGGGATCAGAGGATCAGCCTTCTGAACATTCCACCGGCTCATTCAGTGCCCCGGATGCGGCAAGGCAAGCAAGCCGCCCAGAAGGAGGCGGCAAAGCGACGGCAAGAGAAGGCGTGGAGAGGAATGACCGAAATTCGTTCTGGGTGCGTCCTAAAGTCGAGAATGCCCCAAAACTGGTATGCGTCCAAATCGGAGACCTTTGCGGTTTTCCCTTTGGTTTCCCTTCAGCCAGGGGAAAAGGGTAGCTTCAAAAAACACACCGATGGGTGTCCCAAGCTAAACCTGCTCAGGGTTTGGGTGAATGTCAGCTTTGCGGCGGCCAGCAGCACCATCACTGGACAGTACCTGTCTGCACTGCTAGCGCTTGGACAGTTGACAGTGGGGAGTGCATTCTCAAAACACGTTGACGGCTGTGACTTCGCACACCTCAATTTCCCCGTGCACGGCCTGCAAGAGCAACGCAAGTTGATAGAAATCCCGGTGTTCCCAGGCGAATTGCTTCGTGGTCCCGTTTGGGGCAAGCTCTCTTTTTTGATGCGAAAGCGATGAAGTACTTGGCGCGACACCACGTTTTCAGACAGTGTTCCAAGGCAGGCTTAAAGGAAGAGTTGAGGGCATGCTTTTTGGACGTGTGTTCAAGCAACGCCTAGCGGAAACCCAGGCCCATGTTTGTTTCCCATCCTTCGGGCGCTTCCAGCCTTTCAGCTTGGATGTCCGACCTACTTAGCAAGTGGGTTGGGATCATGGCTATTACTGGGATACCTGGGTTGGCTGACTTACAACTCATAACATGGGTTACAGCCTTTTCATAAGTATAAGTAAATCATAGCTACAACCCTCCCTGACTTCTACGTTTCCCGCCCAGCCACAAGTAGTTTGAACATCCAGCAGCTTGGAGTCAGGCGGCTCGGGCGGAGAAAGAGCGCGCCGCCGTGAAAATGCAGGCCCGCGTGCGCCGGGCGCCCCAAACTTGGTCCTGCAGAACATGGAACCCACGAAACTCTCTGCTGAGTATGTGTGTATGTGTCGAAATGGAGCCCAAGAATTGGTCTCCCTCTGGTCTTCCGATGAGAAGCCAAGCCCAACAAAAATACCCCACATGGAACCCAGGACGACCTCACACGAAGCGAGGGACCTTTGGGAGCCCTTCTTGGAGGTCCATGTGTTCAGCTGAGGGATCTGAAGGGGCTCGACTGGAGCCCTGTGAGCCCTAGCAGGAGATGCCCTGTTGACCCCTGTGTGCGCGTGTGTGTGTGTGTGTGTGTGTGTGTGTGTGTGTGTGTGTGTGTGTGTGAGTGAGTGAGTGTGTGTGTGTGTGTGCGCATTGTTTTTGGGTGCCCTTTTTGTTTCTTTGGAACCATTCAAAGGAAAGCAACTTGGGGTCCCCCTATTTCGGCACATGCCCACATGCTCAACTGTACCTATTCAAAAGGGTGCGTCGCGTCACGTTGTCAGGGCACGTTTGCGTTTGATGGGCAACCCCTACAATAGCCGATGATCAAACATGCTGCTAACCGAACTTGATGTAAACAAGGGATGTCCTGCCCAAGTAGACTTTGAAGAGGCATACAAGCAGCAAGAAACATAGCAAAGTCACTACCCCTGAGACCACTGTCACTGGCACCACCGTTGCACCGCTTCGTGCAAACCAAGGAAACTATGAGGGGATGGTGTCATTCCAACTCATGGCCTGCCTATCGGGCCAGGGCGAAGATGCATGCCTAAGGCGGAAACACAGCGAGGAAGGAAGTGGCAGATATGAAGGCGCGCCCCAGGTTGAGGAAGGACTCGCCCCAAAGAATCCCTTGGGTACACGTGTGTGTGTGTGTGAGAGTGTTTGTGTGTGTGTGTGGGTGTGCATGTGTTTGTTTTCTGTACCCTTTTTGGGTGGCTTAGTTTAACACACCTCTTTTTGACCTTTTGGTTTCCTAGCGTTGGTCTGCACTTGGTGACAGGTTTCTGGATCCACAGGGCAGCTAAGTGAATGGAGTCAGCATATGAGCAGCACGTCGAACCGAGCAAATCGTTTACTACAATGCCGTGTGGCAAGGCATGACCGAGGTTCCGTATTTTTGAATGTGAACCCCTTCCCCTCAGATAACGATAAGCTGGAGCGGCGAGCCGGGCAGATGGGCAGGGTTGAATCTGCAGGGTGCAGAACCTCGCATGCCCTGAAAAGTGATGGCCCACTTTGGCATCACAAGGCATGGTCCGTAACCATGCTGAGTTTCCTCCAAAGGGGCAACTGTGCACGAGAGGGCCACGAGCGCACACGCACACAGGCACAGTGACAGCCCGGCAGGTGGTAAAGGAATCTGCCCAAGGGCCACATTTTCATGCCCAGATGAAAATATGGCGTCGGGTTTATGATGATTCTGAACAGGTTGACTGTGACTGGCACGTGTCCACCAGAAAGAGGAGAACAGGAGCAGCCACGACCGTCTCAATGTGTCAAAATTAGAATCAATTCAGGTGTTTCCTTTCACACCCATTTTTCAAAGGGGTCCCACTTCCTTTGACATGCATCAGGTCAAAGTTCCAGTATTCTATCACCAATTTCGGAGGACTGACTATTTTTTCCGCGGAAGCCAGTGGAACCGAATTCCCACGTCCACTACGGGAGCATATTTTGAGCGTGCCTCATGCGCGCGGGATATATTTGCAGTACCGGCTTTGCCGATGGCAGGCTGCAAGGGTGACGCAGGCGTGGAACCGTTGAGGTTGGGGCTGGAGAATTGATTTTGTGGAGATGCACTGAGACCCTTTTTCTAGGGTTGATTCCCCTTTCTTTTAAGCCATCGTTCTTTTCAGAAACCAGCCATTTCTCCAGGGTTTTTAATAATTTTCTAAAAAGAAGGATCCCTAGAAAGAATGGGGAAGTTACCCCTAGACTTCATTAAATGTTCAGACACTAACCCCCAGATCAAAGTTATGATCCGTGAGGGGGGGGGGCTGTAGGCTGCTCCTTGGATGTATCAACCCTAGGAGGCAACTTAAGTATTCGTTCGGATTTCACCTTCCAATAATCATTGGACATGGGGAAAGTGACATAGGGTCCCGCCATAAAATAGCAAACAGTACTTCTTGTAGGGGGGAAGATCAAATCAGGCATAGCACTCTTTCGAGAAGTTGCATGTCCGAAGAAATGATGCTGAGGGGCAGTCTATCAATTGACTTGAATCTCACTCAGGCTTACGTGAGATGTGGCAGTCGGCTTTGTTTCGGCAAAATCCGGACTTAGCGCCAGCTGGCAAATACGATGCACCTCAGCAACTGCACATGTTTTGTATTGCTACTTGTCCAGTGCTCCACGGCGAGTAGTTGTCGACAGCTCTAGAAGTGGCATCAAGCCACTGTGGTTGTTCAAAGGCTCAGCACTGAAAGACATGCTGCACGCATGTTTTGGCTAGGATTCCCAAGCATATTTGTGTTCGGATAATTCTTTTGGGCATGCGATCAATCTGCAGCGTACCCTCTCCCACTAACATGGAAGCTGATAGAGGGTTCTTGAAGGCACATGACGTGCCAGGACAAGCCACGGCCTTCGCTTGAGCGGCAGGAGTTTTTGTGAGGCTACCCTGTTCACTTTGAACGGACACCAGTCAACATCCCTAATTTGACACACGCCCATTTGGTTCCACATTTGGCCCTTGTGCATCAGGCGACAGCCGTCACCAAGTCGCATGGCGGCCTTAGCCCCAGCGGTGGAGGTGTGGCGAGTATCGACCGGACCTGGTAGCGCGTATATGTTGTGATTGTCGCATCAGTGGACGCATCGTTGTCATGAGATCTTTGTTTGTGTGGCTTTTTGGTTTGTTTTGTGTTTGTGTGGGCGTTTGTTTGTTTGTTTGTTTGTTTGTTTGTTTGTTTGTTTGTTTGTTTGTTTGTTTGCTCGCCTGCTTGTTTGTTTGTTTGTTTCTTTCTTTCTTTCTTTCTTTCTTTCTTTCTTTCTTTGTTTCTTTGTTTGTTTGTTTGTTTGTTTCTTTGTTTCTTTGTTTCCTTGTTTGTCTATTTGTTTGTTTGGTTGTTTCTTTGTTTGTTTGTTGGTTGGTTGCTGGTTGCGTTGGCTTTGCTTGTCTCCTTGAAGTGTTGGCGCAGTTTGCTCCTGTTTTCCCAGAGTGTCATTCTGATAATGCTGGCGATGCTGCTGGTGCTGCTGAGGATGCAAAAACGATGCTGGGGATGTTGGGCGGACGCGGGGGGAATCGAACACGACAAGTATCATCATCTACATCTCGCAATCTGAAGTAACCACGCCAGATGCTTCATGATCCATGCGCACCAGCCCTATGCTGAGCAACGCAACCCGAGAGTCTAATGAGACGTCGGAAGGATAGCCTCAATGGAGAGTGTTGAGCAGCTAAGGCGTCAAGGCGGCTCCGACACGCTTGCGTTGTGTGCCTGTTTCCGGGTGCAGGAAGTTCGTGTTGGACAGCTTTTGGGCGTCACTTTCAACGCTTCAAGCCTTTGGCCAGCCACACTGGGGCAGCACAGGTTGACTCACCTATCCAATCATGGAACATGCTGGGTCTGGAAGACCGTCTGTTTCCCACTTTTTTGGGCCTGGTCGAGCAATTTTCCCGGTTCGGGCAGTCGGCCAGGACGAGGAGTTGCGCGAAAGGCTGGCCAGCGCGCTGAAGAAGAACTTCAACGAGGGGGAGCTCTTCAAGAGCCTGGACCAGGCGTCTCTTGAGTCCGGGGGGGGGTTCTGAACCGCTGGTCGGGGTGGGTTGAGAAGAGCTGAAGAAAAGCACATGGCAAATTCCCCAATCTTGAGGAGATATTTGGTCTTTGTTTTCTCCCTCCGGATCAAGCTTGTGCGCCTCTTACCAGTGGAATTCAGCCGGCCTGCAGGTGAATGCTGTGCC